CCACTGACAGAGCCAGCCGGGAGCCCCCTCCTCTCTTGAATCTTATAAGGAAGGACGCCAATCATTGGACTTAGAGGACACCCAGCTCATCTGGAGATCCTTAACTTAATGACATCTTCAATGATGGTCTTTCCAAATAAGGCTACACACACAGTTTCTGTGGGTTAGGATGTGACACATGCCTTCGGGGTGGGCATTACTCAACCACAACATTCATTGTCTGACTCTACGTTACACATCGATGTATGTGCAGCCTATCACGCCTACTAGGAGAGAAAATGTGGGAATACTCCTTTGTGTTCAGGGGTCCACGGCCACGTAACAGGTGCTTAAAACTATTTGCTGAATGAATGAAAGTAGCTTTCCCTTCCTAAATTCCGATGTCTTCATCTATAAGATGATCATGTCGTTGCCCGTGTGCATGGCCATTACAGAAACAAACAGAATTGAGGGTTTGCGTACAGAGCCATAACTTCCAACTCATTCTTAAAATTAAATGCTCACCCACACGCACGCACACGCCACCTGATACCCTTTGTATGGTGTACCCTTTCGGAAAAGGATGTCTTCAAAATGCCAACCTTATAATTTGTGAGTGAGGTTTATTACTAAATAAGTTTCAGGTGCCTTGGGATTGCATCACATCTTTCCAATGGAGTGTATTGTTGGGAGATAATTTATGGACATGAAATGACACCACTTTCATATAGTGAATGAGAGTTGAAGGGCGGGACCTCATTGTTGAAGGTGCCCAGAGCAGATATTTCAGGAAAGGCTGGATGCTTTGGGCTGAGTCCCGCCCTCAATTCTCAGTACCGGCCAAAGCATGGGCATCGCTGCCAGAGCTACAGACTCAGAAAGTTTCCCAGCAAACCATCTTGTGGGACTTGATTCCTTCAGAGTGCCCTCTAGAATTTGGCCAGCTGAAGGCAGACAGAAAATTCTTGAAGGAATTCTTCAAATTCTTTTTTTTTTTTTAAGATTTTATTTATTTGACAGACAGAGATCACAGAGAAGCAGGCAGAGAGAGAGGAGGAAGCAGGCTCCCTGCTGAGCAGAGCACTCGATGTGGGGCTCGATCCCAGGACCCTGGGATCATGACCTGAGCTGAAGGCAGAGGCTTTAACCCACTGAGCCACCCAGGTGCCCTCAAATCTTCAAATTCTTGAAGTTAGTGGTGATCATCGTGGAATCCAAACAAAAGGACAAAGCTAAGTAGGAATGGATGTTCGGAAACAAATAAAGGATATGGAGAGCAGGGGTGATTCTGGGGCAAAGTGGGGAATACACGACAAGAACAACAAGACAAAAAAATTGAGGTTTTTGTAATCAGATTAAATTACTACGGTTATGAAAAAAAGCAAAGGTTAGACAAAGAAAAATGAAAAATGAAAAATGAAAAAAAAACTCCATTGTAAAAAGAAATCAAAACAGAGAGTATAAATATTTGTCTCTATTTCTGAAGTGCTTTCAGATTCCTTTTTTTTTTTTAAAGATTTTATTTACTTATTTGACAGACAGAGATCACAGGTAGGCAGCAAGGCAGGCAGAGAGGAAGGGAAGCAGACTCCCCGCTTAGCTGAGAGCCTGATGCGGGGCTTGATCCCAGGACCCTGAGATCATGACCTGAGCCAAAGGCAGAGGCTTAACCCACTGAGCCACCCAGGCGCCCCTTTTGGTGGGATTTTATTCTGAAATCCAAGTAAAAGATGAGAGCAAATAGCAGAGTGCTTGCCTCAAAATGATACCATTTAAAATTGATACCAAATAAAATGTGAATGAAGATGATGAAAGTCAGTCTAACTGTAATAACTGTAACAATATAGACAATGCATTTCCCCATAAATGCAAATAATCTCAGGTTAAGAATAAATTGCAGGGGGCGCCTTGGTCGCTCTGTTGGTTGGCAGCTAGCTGCCTTCAGCTCGGGTCATGATTCCAGGATCCTGGGATCGAGTCCCACATCAGGCTCCCTGCTCAGTGGAGAGCCTGCTTCTTCCTCTCCCTCTGCCTGACGCTCTGCTGTGCTCTTTCTCTATCAAATAAATAGATTAAATATTTTAAAAAAGAATAAATTTCAAGAACTACAGTTTACGAGAAAGAGACACACACCCCAAATAAATATCTGGGGGGCGTTTAACATGTTGCAGGAACATTATCTACCATGATAGACGCGGATAGTCCCCTGCTCTCACGGAGTTTACAATCTAGGGGGAAATGAAACAAAACAGCTAAAAATAAGATGCCACGTTTAGATCATGCAGACTTAACTGTGGAGAAGAAACAGTGGCAATGGTAATTATACAAAGTGGAATTTAAGGGGTATGTTTTAATGAGATACAGGAGGTATTAAATAATTACAAGAGTCATCATGAACAGGTAAATGATATGCACTAGCCAACTGGGAAGCATAATACAAAAAGCAGAAATTCAGACATATGAGGAAACGAATGGATGGGAAAGCAATTAGGGAAATTTTAAACTCTTCATTTTCTTCCCATGTCAGATCAAGTAGTTTGAAAGTAAGGACGTGAACAATGTCCCTAGAAAGTTAGAATGAACAGATACAAAACTGATTTGCAAAGAAGAGTGCAGCTTACCAATACCCTTACAAAGAACATACCAGCTTTTCTAGTGCCGTTGAAATATTGACAGAACTGTGTAAAAAACAGGCACAAAGTCTCAACACAATAAGAGAATTAGCTGGCTGGTATGCAGGCTGATCACAGTGCAACGAAAACAAAAATTGAACTTAAGCCTCAAGGTATCCATTCAGCAGCTTCCATCATGTAACTCTAAGTGCTTTCTCTGTGGTCCGCTCCATTTTTGTTTTTCATGCCAACAGGTCCAGGTCTTCCACAATATCCTCTACCCAGAATTTCCTTCCGGAATGCTCTGGGTGTTCTTAAACCTGATCCACGAGTTCTGGCCTTGACATCTCTGAGCTGGAGCAGAGGCCACTGTGATGGGACGCAAGAGGGTGGGCTTAGAGAGAAAGGCACCTGGCCAACACGTCCCTCCCTGCTCTTGGAAGCTGCACCGCCTGGAGAAACCACGCCTGATTGACACCCTTGGGAGAACATGGAGTTCTATGCCAACAAGACATTCTTCCTCCCTGGATCCAATTCTGTCTCAAAATCTTTCACCCGAGAAAGAAGTGAGCTGAGTTCCCGTGTATCTTTTATATTAGTAATAAAATTTCCTGGGGATCTACTATGTCAGGGACTACATAGTACTATTAGGATCTCTACCTATGGAAACACTACAGGACTGTACAGTTGGTTCCCTGTATCTCCCCTGTGCTCCCCCAGACCTTCTCTCCATCCTCCTGCCTTCTCTTTCGGATTCTCAGCCCGAGAGTCTGCATCCAGACTTCCATTCCGTTTCCCTTCACCGAAGTTCTCAGCTCCATACAGCTACCTTGTCTGGGTAACTGCTCCCTCCTCTTGCCTTCCAAGCCTTGGATGGCAGCAGTTCCTCACTGCTGCTAATCTTGCAGCTGAGCAATCCCTTCGTGTTTCTCTGCACCCTGCCCACACCTTTGTAAGCAGCATGGTTATCAAACCCTCCCCCAACCACTCAGTGTGAGGGTGCCACCTGTTTCCTGCTGGGACCCTGTTCAGGGGTTGGTAGTGCCATCCACATTCTGTGGATGAGTAAACTGAGGTAGAGAGAGGTGAGGAAAGTTGTCCAAGGCCATGCACTTGGAAGGAACAAGGCTGAGATTCAAGCCTGGACTGACCCATGCCAGCATATTGCTTTTTCTATTATTTCTAGCTTTTGTTGCAATTGGTGCAGTCAGGCAGTGTGATGCTGGGAGCCTGTTTTCTTTTGGTCAAGGGACAAGAGGCAGGAGAAACAAGAAGGGCCACCAGGACAGCCTGTCAGATGAAATGGAGCCGAGGTAGCCACGTGGTGGAGAGCAGTTGAGGTAGGTGGCCTATATTCGATCAAAAACAGACATCCATGTCATGCTCTGTAGTTCTTATCAAGAAGTCCACTCTATAAATAAGGAAACTGAGGCACAGAGGAGAGGCACAGCCTTCCCCAAAGCCACCTCCCTACTAAGTGATGGGGCTTGTTAGGGATTCCAGTGCCACGCAGAGCCAAAGCCCCTTAGAGTTTCAAGACACCCACCTGGGAGGCACCTTCCCCATCTGCTCTGGGAGCCAGCTGAGTCCAGAAACTTCCCTGTGATGTTGGTATAGCACCAACACACCCTCCATTTCACTATGAAGGAGTGCTGTCACGGTGGGCATGTTAAAACTGGGAAATGTAAGATGCCTGCCTGCCCTAGGTCCCATGATTAGCAAGTGCAGGAGCCCATTCTGCAAACGAGAATTAAGGGCTCAGACATTGTCCAAGACCCACGGATCCCAAAGGCAGCGGGGTGCTCCGGCCCTCTTCCCCACCCTGGCGTGCACTCCCAGGGCCCTCCCTGGGGGTGAGATCTTAGCCTTCTCCTTCAATCACAGACAAGCAACCACGGCTCATAGGGGCCACGTGGCTCGTTCGGAGCCGCGCAGCTTTGGTAGGCATGTGACTCAGCTCCGGTCCGCGGTGCTCCCAGCGTCTTAGGATGGACCACACTCCGCTGCCCCTCAAGAACCACGGGCGCTCATTACAGTCCTGCTCCCCGGCCGGCTCCAGACCCGGTGGCGCAGGGTAAGGCGAGGTCCGGGAATCCGCATTTTCCACCAGCGTTCGCACGCCCACCTCCACCCCATCCCTCGCTCCAGGTGATTCTTAGGATCTGGACAGATCATGAAGCAGCCGCAGCTGATCGACGCCGCGGCTAAGTCCACGGCGGGCTCTCGGGGCGGGGCCAGGTGCGCCAGGTGCCGCCGGGCGCGCAGCTCCGCCCCGGGGGCGGGGCCCCACCTGCGGCGGGCAGGTAGGCGGCTACCTGGTAACCCGGCCCCGGCCCTGGAGGTTTGAGCGCGCGCAGCCAGTCCCGGCCACGCCGGGGACCGAGGTTTTCAGGCAGGGGCGGCCGCCGGCAGACGACGGGAGGCTGAGCGAGGGGCCTTCGCCTGGTCACCATGGTCGAAAGACGCTTCTCTGAGTTTCTGCAGAAACTCCCCTTCTCGGGCGCGGGCCACCTGTACGAGCCCCTGGAGAGGAGCGAGTTGGAAATCTTGGTAAGTCCGGGCGACACGGCGCGGGCCGTGCGACTTCACCCTCCGGCCCACCGTCCCCCACCCTCCGCCGGGACCCCTCCCGCAGCTCGCCCTCCTGCCCCTGGCTCTAGAAAGATCTCTGGAGCAACGCCAGCTCCTGTTTCTGCTCTGAGCCGGGCTCGCGCCATTTAAGCCTCTTAGGACAGACAGCCCATTTTGTGGAGTTGATACTGAGGCAGAGAGAGGTTACATGTGCCCCTTAAGACGCACCCAGTTAGCAAACGACCCAGCCAGGAACTTCCCCTCGGTTTCTCTGGCTCCGGAGAATGTAAATTCCTAGGTCTCTGCACTCAGGCTGCCGTATGGATTTTTTTTTTTTTTTTAAGTTATTTTTTTTGGGGAAAAAAAAAAGTGTTGTAAAAAAACAAAAATACCTGGGGAAAATGTTTTAGCCATGATAGTAATAATAATGGTGGAATTAGGGTAAAGAGCAGCCAGGCCTCCCAGCTTTGCTTCCTATGTCTGCAACGCAGTTTTGAAAAGCACTCAGGTTTGTATGTTGACTTAGCAACCTCCAGGGGACCCTCTAGGATAAATCAACATAACTTTCAGGCCCGGGGCACGGGAGGGTTGGGGAGAGGAGGGGTTTCCCAGTGGCTGAACTGACACCGCTGTCCAAAAAAGCCCTTCCACTTGGGGAAGCCAGGCTCAGTGGATGACTCGGTGACTTTCTCCTTAGGTTTGTAGGAGTCTAAGCTTCGCACCTTGCGGGATACGAGAGCGGAGAGCGCTGAATTCCTGCAAAAGCCTGTCTGGGGCATTGCACTTTTTTTCCTTTTCAACCTAATCAGTCATTCAAAAATAAAATTCCTGAAATAGTGCCTTGGGCATGCTCAGGAGAACACGGCCATCTGACCTCCCAGTTAAATTTACTTTTTAATGGAAAAGAGCAGATGGAAAAACTCAATTTAAACTATTGAATTTTCCTCCCAAAGAATGACAACAGTCAAAACGGTCTTGTGGAATGATTCCTAAATATTTGTGCATTAAATAAATAGTATTTTATATGTGAAAGTTAGCACAAGAATTCCGGTGCTGGGGCTGTAGGACCGCAGGGCTGTGTAACTAGTAGTTCTCCCGTCGTCTCTGTGTTGCTGAAGGGACACGTGGGTTCAACATGGCTTGTAGAGTTTGATTCTTTTGCTGAGATCAATTTCTCTATCCACGTCATGCCCTGGGTTCTGCTGAAGGAGTGTGAAGTCAGTTTGCCAATATTGTTGCCTTTTCTGCCTGACTCTCTCTTTTGGTTTTTGCATCATGCTGGATATTTTTCAAACACTCCTGATGTGTGGTTGATTATGATTAGATTTAATAGGATGTCCAGGTGGGCTGGGTATGGGGGTCATGTAACATGACTAGAGATGTTGGGGTGAGTTTGACCTTGGCACCAAAGTGCACTTCAGTCCTCCAGATCTCTTCCGAGGGGTCCTCAAGGGTATGACGGGTCCTCAACCTATCTGTAGGTGTGTGTGGGGTTCACCCACCTGGTCGAGGACCCGGATGTTCTCAGTAGCACCCTGAAGGGTGGGTGATGGGCGACGTCGCAGTGGGGAGGGGAGGGGAGACAGGCGACCCAGGTCCCCAGCAGCAAAGGCTCGGTGAGAAACAAAATGTCCTATCTCTTAAAAAAAAATGTCCTGTCTCTGACGGGTCCTGGTACAAACCCAGGAGGTTGCACTGAAAGGAGCTGGCAGCAGGGATGGGGGGCAGTGATGGGGGGGTGGGGGGACCTGTTTCCCACCAGCTCAGCTTAGAGCCTGAACCTCCTTCGTTCTCACACTTCCTTCCCCCATTCGAACCCTTTTGCCAAGAAAAATGGAAAAAAGCCAAGTGTGCTCACAGCGATCATTTCTACGAGAGTTGTTTATTACTGAGAACTTGCTGTGTCTTTTTTCTGCTCTGTCTCCTGTCTCTCTGTGCCAAGGTCAATTTTATTATTATAATCATCTATAAGGACATGGAGGCTCACAGGTGGGGCCAGGCGCTAAGGATACAGTTGGGTACAAAATGAAGTTTGTGGGGGAGGCCCACAGATGGTAGAGAAACCAAGAAATGTTTAATCAGAGATCTGGGGGTGGGGGTCTGGGGTATGATGGGGACCAAGAAAGCAGAGTGGCCAGGCAGAGGACACGGGGGCCAGGGAGGACTGGGGCAGGGGACACGTGGGCCAGCTTCGGAGGCTGAATCTGAGCACAGAGCTTATGGCTCTGAAAATGCTCTGTTCTTCCCATATTTTCAGTATCACCACAAGGAAGGGGTTTGAGAGATCCTCTTAATTCAACTACTGGGAAAAAAAACCCTTCTCTGTTTTAACCTGAATGGTGGGTGAGGAGAACGTTGTACCAGAAATTCCTGCTTCCCGAGGACTTGATGCCAACTCCAGGGAAGTTATCTTTGACCCGAGGCTCCCCATCTCTTAACCGTCTGGCGCTCCACCCTGTGCTGCCTTCCTGGTTGGCGAACTGATTCATCCTCCTCGGGCTTTCTGGGGTGAAGACGGGGTTCCAGCAGACTCACGTAGTGGTCCCCGGCGCATTCAGCCCAGGTTCACGGAGCGTCTGCTGTGTGTCAGGCCAGGGCTGCCTGCCACGGATGGGGTGTAGAAGATGGACATACTCCCTGCTCTGCTGGTGGGCAGAGATGGGGACCAAATTCTGAGCAGAGCCATCACGAAGCATTTGGGCTTTATTCCTGGAGCAACAGGGAACTATTGGAAGGTTTAAATCGGGTCATGACAGTCATCCTCTCATTCACAGATGCGCCAAACATTAGGAATGAAATAAACAAAACAGACACAATCAGATTTGCATTTTGAAGAGATCACACCTGGCACAGGAGGGACTTCTGAGACACACCCACACACAAATCCTTAGTGTTTCTCAAAATGTAGTGAGATAGGACTTCTTGAAGCTGTGTATTGCAGCCTTCCAGTGTTGCCAAATTATTTGTATCAAAAGGTAACTTAAAGAAGTATAAACACAAAACTTGCAATAAATGTGGCTGTGTGTGTATAATGCAACTCAAAAGAGCCACTAACTTTATAATAAAATCATAAAGGACAAATGTAGCAACTAAATTTTGACATGACCAGTGACATTTTTTTTTAAATGTTTCCTTTTTTTTTTTTTTTAAAGATTTTATTTATTTAACTGACAGAGAGATAGAGAGCATAAGTAAGCAGAGTGGCAGGCAGAGAGGGAGAGAGAAGTAGGGTCTCTGCCAAGCAGGGAGTCCAATGCTGGGCTCGATCCCACGACCCTGAGATCATGACCCGAGCTGAAGGCACAGGATTTAACCACTGAGCCACCCAGGCGCCCCTCCTTTTTTTTTTTTTTTAAGACTTTTTTTTTTTTTTTTTTAATTTATTAGAGAGAATGAGGTCAGTGGGAGAAGCTGACTCCCCGTGGAGCAGGGAGCCTGATGTTGGACTCAATCCTGGAACTCCGGGATCATGACCTGAGCCAAAGGCAGTTGCTTAACCAACTGAGCCACCCAGGTGCCCGACCAGTGACATTTTTAAAAAACTCAACCATTGATGTTGAATGGTTGTACTGATTATCTATTGCCGTGTAACAAATTACTGCAAAATGCAGTGACTTAAAACAACAAACGATCATCGCACGGTTTCCGCTGGTCAGAAATCTGTGCATCTCAGCTGGGGGCTCCGGGATCTGGTCTCTCGTGAGGTTGTTGTCCAGCTGTTGCCTGGGGCTGTGGTCTCATCTGAAGCCTTATAGTGTGGAAGGGGGAAGGATTCACTTCCAAACTCCTTCTTGTGGTTGTTTGCAGGCCCCTTACTTTGTGGGCTTGTTTACAGAGCTGCCTCATGGCTCAGCAGGTAGCTCCCCCAAGAGTGAATGATCCAAGAGAGATTGAGAAAGCATCCATAAAAGCCTAGAAGCCACAGGCTTTTTATAACCCAACGTTGGAAGTGCTGTCTTATCTCTTCTGCCATGTTCTATTCATCATAAGTGAGTCTAGGGGCTCCTGATTGGCTCAGTCGGTAGAACATGCAACTCTTGATCTTGGGGTCATGAGTTTGAGCCCCACATTGGGTGTAGACATTACTTAAATAAATAAAACTTAAAAAAAAAGAAGTGAGTCTAGGTCTAGCCCATGCTCAGGGCAGGGGTGGAGGTTTGTATTACAAAAGTGCATGAAAATCAAGAGGCAGGGATGCTTGGGGGTAGAGGCTGCCAGTGGTGGAAAGGAACAGTTTCTCCCATGAGCTCAGTCACATCAAAAGCAGAACCACACCTGGTGCATTGTCTGCCCAATAGTTATCTTTTTCCTACTGTTTTCATTACTCTTGAACTCTAGTCTTTATTTAGGCTCCTCTTGAATTTTGACTTTGATAATGTTTATGCTGAGAATGTCTATTTACAGGTATGTGTACAAAATGGCATTTAAATATGTCAAGAGTTGGTTTGCTAGTGTAGGATAATCAGCCTCTTAAGCATGACGGACAGCAAGTGACTTGTGAATGTCAGTGTTCAAGGCTGTCATTTGGTAATGGTAGAATTGGCTTGTGAACTTGAAGGCAAAGTGAGCGTCGGGCATTGTGAGAAAAATATTCTTTCCTTGGTATTGATTACTACACTTGGCGCTTATCAGTTATGGCAAGTATCTCTGTTTGCCGACTGGATTCGTGTTGGGCCCCACTTGCGATGTGACTACCCTGAGTTGACTTGGGATACTGTGTGCTGTGTGATGATTCCATTCTCCTGCCCCTTTTCCCTCCCTGAGCCACTGAGAACCTTTCATCCCTGCAGGGTGTCACGTGATGGTTGTCACAAATACACAGGTTGGCCCTAGTGTCACGTAACAGTGCTTTGTTAAAAATTGGCCCCCAGAAGGTCTATATTAATTAAAGAAATTGTTGAGACGCATAGTTCAAGTTCAGAAGTTCTTAGGAAACTGGGGGCTCTGGAGAACGTGTCCAAAGATGCCATCTTAGAAAT